TTAAAACAGGATAAGAGCGTGTGGCATGTTTACCTTTTACAGAACATAAGCAGTGATTCACGAATTTTTAGATCTTTAGATTTCTCCCCTTGAACCCACATTCACGCACACACCCACCCATCAACATGCTCAAACTTGGTGTTACACAAGCTTCCAAAAATCCTTATTATCCAATTCTCAGCTTTCATTATCGGTAATAACGAACTAAACAATTTGTGCAATTAGCTGTCTTTTACAGCTGGTATAAAACCAAGCAGGAGATGGGAAATCCCCGAGGGCTCTCGAGGTGCCGGCTAAGACGGTTCAGTGCAATTCTATTAACCATGATTTAAAACTAATAAATAAATAAATAAAAACCATAGCAGCATAACCCTAAAGGCAATGAGTCATTTTCTCCTTGTGATGTCCTGAAACATGCCATATCCTTCTGAGCCGCAAAGCCAAAAAATAAAAAATAAAAATATGTCTCAATCCAGACGACGGAGCTTTCTGTGATTGTTTTTTTCTTGTGTGCCTGTATCAAAATGCTCCAGTAGCTTTCAGAGCGTCCCGCCTCCTCCCGATCGCTGAGGTGCCGTCGCTTTCGGGCAGTCCGCCATTATCGCCTGGGCGCAGTCCAGCTCAGTGCCTCTAGAGGATCTTGGTGGCTTGTCAGCTTGGAAAGTAACTCCCGGTTAAAATGGAAAATACTCAAAAACTGTCCCACACAAAGCAGATGTGCATTGGGCACAACTTGATTTAATGCCCAAAATTTGTGGGTTGAGGGGACTTTTATGCTAGAAACACAACGATGGGGAATTCCTAACTGTCTGTTACTCGCATTTTACTTCGGCCTTGTCCTGTTCTCTGGTAAAATGGACCAACACATACTAAAGCACTACAATCTAGGAGGTCTTGTGGTTAGAGGCAATGCCAGTCACTGCATGGTTAACTCAATGGAAACCAGTGTGAAAGTAGGCCAAACCAGTAAAGGATAATGCCCCCAGTGGCAGCTTTTAAAGCATCATCCCTATTGGTCACTGCTAATACTGAGCCATGTACTGCGGCCCTGGGCTTTGCTCTATTGCTTTAGGACAGAGGGAGTCAAGCGCACAGCCTGCAGGCCAGAACCGGCACAGCAGTGGTACTAATCTGTCCTGGAAGGTGATGGCATACTGACGAGAAATGCGGTTGCAGACAGGATTTCGGATCTCTCCTACTTTTCCTGCTTGTCTTATCCATCACGACTTGGTGAAAAGCCGCGTGGTTATCATCTGCATGAGCTGCGCCGGACGGCAGCTTCAGGTCTCCGGCGGGTCGGGTTCGGTTTACTGGAGCCGCCACAGGTTGTCACCAGATACGGTTCATCTTGCATTATACCTGGACGTACTTTGTGGGAAGCACCTTCAATGTTCTGGAATTGTCTATGAACGTAGCCTGTATGCGGGACGCCATTGATGCTTTGAAAAAAGAACATTCTTCATGAGGTGCTGAAGTACATTCATAATTTGAAGCTGATTTCTGATCAATTTCTTTGTGGATTCATAGTGTACCTTGGTGACCAACCTCTTACACTAATGAGAAAAAAACAAATATTACATGTGTTTCACATGTTATGGGCCCAACTACACGGATTTTCTTTCTCCAGCCCACTTGAGATTAGGTCCAGTCCAACGTGACCCATTAACTGAAACAAGTTTGGCACCCCTGCTTTAGAAAAAGCATCCAGAACACGACTCAACCTCCTGGCACGAAGTCACACACCAATCACAGCGCAGCGGGGGAGGGGCTAAATCTGCTGCTGAATCTGGATATCCAGGAAAAACTGCTTTCAGGAATTCGTGGAAATGACACTCGCGCTAAGCCCCGCCCATGCCATGGCGTGTGTCTGATATTCCTCAGGGCATTCCACGGCACCAGGCTCAGCAAGCCGCAGCGGCAGGATGTCCGATTTACTGTGTACTAGCCGTGTTCAGGGCCACACGGGGCACTACAGGACGCTGTGCCTCTGGGTTCCTCCCAAATGTGACTGAAAGAGGGCAGGTTTCTCGTCCCTGCCACCCACACGGTGTTGTGTAAGGCCCAGGAATTCATACTGTGCAGCCCATGCTTCGCCAGAAACATCTCCTTCCCTTCATATCCACAAATGTACTCTGTATCTCACCAAAACACTGCCAGCGATGTGTTGCTGTCTTCTGCCCAGCAAGAAATGGGGGTAAAACATTCCAAAAAGGGCTCAGTCAAGATACACTGGAAAGAACCTACACAGACATTAATAATCGAATTCTGCTGGAATGGATGTAATTTGCTCATTGGCTTTAAATAGACTCTCCAAAACATTCCTTCAGTCTATAGGTTTGTACCTTTAAAATGGGTGCAAATAAGTTTTAAAGCGTCTCCATCATACTTTGTAGTGTTTCAGAGCCAAAGCCAGCTGTCACTTTCCACTTACCACCCACACAGCAGCTCGCAAAAGAATTTGGTGCTGGTCAAACCAAAGATTTTTTTAATTATTACTGCACATGGTGCTGAGAAAATGGATTTCTGCATTGCTCTAGCAAATTCTACCGTTATAATCTGACACACTAAATGTCAGTTGGTACCCAGCCTGAATGCTTAGGGTATTGAGATGATTTTGTTATTTTTGGGGGATTCTCTGGTAAAAAGATTTCCTAGCTGAGAAATCCGCTGTGGAGGCAGGTTGCCATAATCACGCAACATCCGAGGCCCACGGTCTGAAAGGAAACTGCAAAGGCAGAGCCTTCCTTCCACAGGAAAGGAGGAAGAGCTCAGATCCAGACCAACTCCACCATCCGAACGAGGAAATGGTGCATGATGGGAAGAGCGCGCGCGCACACACACACACACACACACAAATACACATGTACATGCGTGTTTGTATTCTTATCTATATGGGGAACTTCCATTCTATTGAAAAAACCCAAATCTCAACAAAGACAACCTTAACCCCTACCCAACACTAACTTTAACCATAAGTAACCAAATAAAATACAAGACTTTTTGCACTAATTTTTATAAAATTGAGTTTTCCTTTGTGGGGACCGAAAAAAATGGTGCCCACAATGTCCAGATAACAGGTTTTTAAACACAAGTGGGGACACTTGGTCCCCAAAAAGTAATATACACATATTCCCCTCCCGTCAAGCACACACACACACACACACACACACACACACACACACAAACAGGTTTTATGATAAGGTGACTTTCAGTTTCTGATTCATGTAGTTTGTCAACATACTTAAGTGTTACCAGTCGAGGAACACACAAATATTTAAATTAGTAAAACTTCACCCGATTAAATAAACCATCACAGATAAGTGTCACTACACATTCTATCACAGTGATTTCATTATGCATTTTTTCTTAGACATTACAAAATATTCTCCTGGGGTTCTTGAATCCAAGTACTTCCTACTAACAAAGAAAAAAATAAGGATTTGCATTTAGAGTCCTTCCCTTAATTCATGTGGAATGTCTTTCAACTAGACACAGAAGATAAAAAAATGACTTGGGAACCGAATTCTTTCAAAATCACTGGTTAAAATAGATTTATGACGTATAACCTGATTTATAATGTGTTATCTGTACAATTTAACACACGTGATGTATTCAGCTCAGTGGGGGTTAAACTGCATGTATTCAGGAATGAAGGACATAAGCACACGAGCTTAAAAATTTCATGCACTAGACACTTGACAAAATCCAAATGAGCTCTGATTTAAAAACGCACTGAACCATTTCTAATTGTAAGGCCTACTGATCTATGATACATTATAACATTAGGTCCACTTGGAAATGTGGAACAAAATCTGGAGATTTGATTAAACTTTACAATATAAACACTAGGAGAAAAAAAACTTAAACAATGGTTTATTTATATTCCGTTGCATTTCATGGATAAATACCAATAAATGTGTAGAGATTTTATTACTGCTTTAGAGGAAACAGTGTCACCAGAATACGCGCATTCGCCATAATACTCACTCCCACTTATTATTAAGCGTAAGACACATTTCCCACATCGGGTTTTAAAATGCGGCTTTGCGTTGTGCACGGAAATGCCGCTTTCTCCGTTTTCCTCTATATACAGGCATAACGTGAAGACCCTGTTGCTATTAGTGACAAGTCCACCCACTGCTACACCACCTCACCAACCCATAAAATATTATACAATTACACCGCGCCGCTGACTGCTTTGCTTTCGAGGGGCGGGGGTAATTTAAAATAATTGAATAGTAATAAATGCAAATAAAAGTAGAGTGCGTTTTCTATTTATTATGTAGCTGGACTGGACACGAGCGGGGGATGGAGATGCTGAAAATGCATCGACAAAAAAAAAAAAAATACATCTGCGAATAGACGGATATTAATGCTGGGTCGCTTAAGAAGCTAATTAGATAAGAGTCTGTTTCAAAGTTGTGAAGCATTTGGGCAATAAAGGGGGACCCAATCTGCCAAATTTCGCGTTTACATTAATCTCTGATCGCGTAAAATGGACCCGAAGGGCTATGCGAAGGCGTGTGTGTGTGTGTGTGCATTTGCGCGTGCCAATGCTGCATTTTGGACAACACTTGTATGTCGATCCGTGATGAGGCGGCTCCTCTCCCTACATGTTAATAAAAAAAATACGCCTTTCGAAATCCTACTGCAATTAGTTCCATCACAAAAAACCTACGTTTTAATACTATATATCATGTCATCAGTGCAAGACGCTGGAAAAATAAAAGGAACATTTAAAAAGGTGTTTCAAAACTGAAAATCCACGCAACATTCAGTAAACTGGTCAATTGATCAGATCTTTTCCATCACGATCTTGTAGAAAGCAGCGAAGATTAAAGCAAGCCATGCCATATAATAAGAGCAGATCTTCCCCCTTCTGCTAACAGGGGGATTCTGTTCGTTGATTGCAATTCAGTTAACCAATCAACAGGGTGAAAATGTTTAAACAACCACATGCCAAGCAGGTATTTGAAAGGAACGACAAGTGGGGCACTCACTCATATCTTGACAATTAAAGGACCAAATTCACCCTCATCGTCCACAGCCGATGTTGTCATTGCAGCAGCAACAGTAACCAAACCCGTAGTTGACAACCTACACAGTACCATGGCTATTAGCGCCAGAGGCAGTTTCTTGAGAGGCGTACGCAGATATCCAATAGGAATGCAGTGTTGAGCACTACGCAACACCCCCCATCTTTTGAACCAATCAGTAGCGAGAGAGCAACCGCCGTTGTATTAGTTTGGTACATTGTCGAGTTCGGTTGAGCAATGGAATCCATCGGTGGTCTAAAAGCGGTAAAGTTATCGAACCCGTTATGGAAGAGTGGTGCGCATATTTCAAGTGTTCATTTCATGCAATCCGTTAAGAACGAACTAAAAAACGCAATACATCGGAAATCCAAATCTTGAAATTACATAAAAGCGGAAATATTGTACTTTCACACAGAAATAGCAAACTGGAACATAAATGGAAAAAATCATTCTCTATAAAAGAGGACCCGAAACATCTACTCGGCTTAAAAGCAAATAGTTTCAAGCAAACAATCGGTTAACATGTAACGCAAGCATTACCTGCTTATATATTTTGTGTATTATTTTAGCTATAAGGACATAATCTGTTAGAATTTGACTTCCCTTATATTTTCGAAGTAGACTATATGTAGTAGGATGTGTTTTGCTGAGCAGTGTACTATCTGAAGTGAAGACACCCCAAAATCTGATATTTCTTCGATTCTGCAAAGTAGAATAATCTAACAGAATTTGAAAACTATATTTCAGATAAATACATGAATCCCGCCACCTACTGGAAAAATGAAAATTCGACAAGTGGTCCACAAAATGATATATGATGCCTTTAATTGACATTATTCACATGTAATAGAGATCAATATTACATTTCACATGATATTCGGGAGTGGCCCAGAGTTGTACTTTTAGCCCATATATAGAATTGAATATTATTTTGGGGCCAAAAAATAAATATATAAAGAAAAGTGACAGCCACAACATAAATATTACAATGTCAGAATTATTATGCACTATGAAATCAAATGATAAAATATCAAAATTGACACTTTAATGATGAGTGTTATACAAATCCTTCAACTATCTGCATCAAGACTGCCTATTTCAGGCAGTACACGGCACAGAGGTGCACCCTGGGTGGGAGGTCTGTCCATGGCAGAACACACACATGCTGTTACGGAGGGGCACGACACAGGGAAGGACGAGACGACCCACGTAGCAGCTCCAACAAACAAAAAGACTTTATTATAATATATAAAACATATTAAAGATACCATTATACTATACATAAAACATACTAAACCAAAGGACTGCAAGGGGACAAAACAGGAATACGATAAAACTTAGGCAGAAGGCAACAACCATGATAGATGAGCCGCAAAGACAGGTCAACAACAGCTACAACACACAGTAACAACCACAACAGCCACCTGAGGAAACAGGGCAAGGACAAGCACATATACAGATGGATAATGAGGGCTAATGGCAGGTGTGGACTGTTACAAACAACAGGCTAGGGGCAATGAGGAGCAGGTGGGGTCACTCAACAGACACAGAAATGTCCAAAGGCCAAGGGAATCTAAAACAAGGAATATGAACATACTGCAAACAGGGAACAGGGAGCAAAAACAAGGAACTGTAACTAAAATGCATGATACACCAAGATATACACACAATAACATAATTGTTAAATTAAGTCGAACCCACAGCAAAAAGGGATTTGGGACGAGGGTCGACCACTTAGCCTGTTAAGCCACGTGGCAGCCAGGGGAACAGGGAAACACTAGGAGTTAAGGACACAGGATGGCCAGTGACACCTGCTGGACAAAAAGGGAGCAAACATACCGAGAAGGCAGGATAGGGACTGATCCTGAAGCATGTATTCAATGAGGGCAATTTAAAGACACCCAATAACCTAACGTCAATACGTGGAGAATATGCAGACCCCATCCATGTGGGATGAGATATTAAATTATTATTTTCAGATAGCTTGACGTGTACCCTGATGTTAACTCGATGAGCACAGATCTAGAAGGATTAGAATACTGCTAAAAGAAGTTATTATATTCCATCGTAGCAAACTCGAGGTTATCGTTGCGAGAATTTCTTCTTGGAGAGAAAGCCTCACGGAGAATCAATAAAAGCTGTTCTGTTCCCGGCTAAAATACTTATTATCGAGCAACATGATAAAGACTGATAACAGAACAAGTGGGACTTTTCCGCCCCCTAGTGGGTGACCTTGAATGGGTTTTTTAAGCCTCCTCTGCAATGGAATAAACATGTCTAAATAAAAGCGCGGTGATGTACATCACTTACTAAGACTCCAATTTCATTTATTGTGTATGCATAAAATAGTATTACAGAGTATAATCAGCTCATATTGCAGAATATAGTCACTTCTATGTTTTGTGCGATGTGAAAATGCGCACTTGTTCGGATTCTAACATTTGAAAAAAAAATCTCGTTGGGAAACGATGGGCGCCAGCCTTGATTCAAAAACGCACAAACGCAACATTTCGATAGCTGAAGGTCACATATGTTAGCGATCATGTTTCCGAATGGGGACAAATATATTTCTCATTATGTCGGGCAGCGCCTGTGGGGGTACTCTCTCATCACACAAAGAGCTTATACGAGCGGCTTTTACCCTGGTGTACACGTAACCCAAATTACCACTGAATTGGGAGCTCTCCATGGAATACCTCACGTAGCGTTTAATGCCGTGCTCAGATTCCTAATAGCAAAATGAGCACGATTTTCTGATAGAAAATGCCATTTATGAAGCTCAAGTGCTCTTGAATACGCTTTCTTGTACATTTTCCTGTAACCTAATTAAATGTAATTAATGTTGTAACCAGAAAGCTAACACATTCTAAATTTATCATGATGTTTGATTTTGTTCGCTCTTAAATTAGTTGCATTCACAACTCGAATGTGTATTCAACACGGCTGTGCAAAACTTTTGCATTCACAACGAAAAAATGTAAATGTAGCCAAATAAAATTCTAGATAGTGCATTAGCGGTGTTCTATACATCCTAATTAGGGTATAAACACTGTCTACTTTGCATATAAGGCAGATGTTTACTTCACAAAAATAACATACTTAAGTTGAAAATTGTACAATTTTCTATGACTTAGGCCTAACGTGTAAATAATAATAATAATAATAATAATAATAATAATAATAATAATAAAAATATACGCATAGCAATCACCTGTTGTGTTTAAAAATATATTTTATTCACCATTATCTTTATTACGTGGACAAGTCTCAGCCAAAACGCCTTTACGAAGAAGGCCAGGTATTTTACGCTAAGATGCTGCCCATGTAACGAGGCTGCAATCACTCGACTTAGTAAATACAGTTTATAGTTTATCATCTCTTTGTGAAAATGTATATATTTAAGATTCATTTTGTATTAGACAAGACGTGAACCTATTTTAATAGACCATATGGATGACTTGTGCACGACACTGTGAAGGTCTGTATTCAGATTAATTGGAGATTTCACAGAAGTCAACCAGAACAGCAACTCAACACTGCGAACCGGTGAATCATCATTCCAATATTTACGCCTCACGCACATTCAGCACATTAGACACTTAATACATTAATACAAACCGTACACTTCAACTTATTGTCTCTGCTTGAATTTTGTTTCTTTACTGCTCTGTATACCTTTCGAAAATAAATCTGAATTAATTACAGATTTTAGAGTAAAGCAAAATCACACAACCAAGAACAAATAAAACTGCTTGTTCACATTATCGTAATATAATCATGGGCCTATTCATTAAAAATAAAAATATTAACATAAAAATACAAATATTACATCGAAATCTCTTTATCTTATACGAGCTCTACGGCCCGAAGTACCCATCTTATTCATTCATTCAATTTAAATCAAGCAAAACTATCGCAATGTCAGTAGAATGTGCATTGAAATTAGACGTGAAAACACGTAGAGTAGTAGGATATTACGGGAGCAGCGAAGCAGTCCTGTACCAGCCCTGAGCTAATGAAAGGCGGCCGCATCTGGACATGCGCGGAGGTGCGCGGAACATGGCGGCGTAGAGCTCTCGGAAAGTGCGGAATTGCGCGCTACTGATTTCTGCAATAACTGGTAAGTTGAGTCCCACGTTATCCCGTTTTTGTTGCCTACTCCAATGTGAAGCTAGTCCAACGTCTTCTTGGTCGTAGGTCTACACTCATAAGCACGATTAGAGAGACTCCAGGTGAAAATGTATTCGTTTATGCCCAGTCCGTCCCGCTTATTCGTTATATTCAGAGGTTGTGTTATTACAGCCCAGCAGTTCCCCAATTATATATCAAGCGGCCGATGTCATGGAAATTAATGCAGTTGTGATCTATTCGCTCTGCACAATGGCATCATTTTATCATCATTAATAGAATGTCATTATTACGCTTTTTGGAAAGCTAATGTAGTTTGTGTTTCAGATGCATGTGATTAAGTGCTAAGTAATAATATTGATATTGGTTTCTATAAATGAAAACGAGGCTACTGAATGAGTGCGTTTAAGTTATTGACGTAAGCACAGTAGTTCAAATACCCTTACAGTTTAGACGTGATGGATGAAATAGCTGTTTTTCTGCTGTTGAATCACTATGCTCAGACACTTCGTATCGATAAAATAGTTGCTTGAGAAAGAGACTGAAGCATGCTGTTAATGTGCGAAATTCATACAAAATTTTCGAAGGACACTATACCAATTTCCAGCCGTAACGAAGCGTTCGCTGAGCCGCGCCTCCTGCCGCCCCGCCTCTTCGCATATTTATGGTGCTGCACAATGCAAGCGCAAGTTTCGGGCGAACTGCATGATTTTCTAAGTTTAAGAACCTAACAATCACATGAATTGGCAAAAAAAAAAGAAATTCTGAAAAAGTTGGAACAACTCGCCGGTGAGGTTCATTTAAAAGTTCCTTCAAGCTGGACTTAATAACAGATGAATGATCTACTTTTGGGAATAAGTTGGTAAATTTTGTTTCTACTCTATTATGAATATGAAGTTGATATTTGATGTAATTTATTGCTTTTTATAATATTTTAATTATTGTATGAGTTCTTCACTTGTAAGATTGCTGTATATTTCTGTATTGTCTTTGTTTTAATGACACGTGTGGTTTGTAGCTGTGCTGTCTAAAATAACTACACTTGGCCACTTTTTACTATTGTTTTGCTAAGAGTCACAACCGCTGAGTTATAGCATGTGTCATATTATTGTTTTTTATGTACACTGTTCATTTGCTGGAACACAAAGATGTACAGATAAGACATGCACGTTGTGTTAAAGAACTAATTGTTTGTGAATTGCGATATTACTAATGGAAAGTGTTTTTTCCCACAATTTTAAACCCCATAAGAAACGGCATTATGTAAAATGATTTCTAGATTTAATAACAAGATATTAAATTCATTTTATAAAAGCATGTTTTTGCCTTACATTTTTAGCCGTTAAACCATTTTTTAGCCGTTAAACCAATGCATTTACAGGTGCGCATTTGTTTAATTAGAATATTAGGCTACACGTACGTCGTCCGTTGACCATGTAACAAAGGAGTTATAGAATACACGTTTATAAAGATTACTAATTAAGAAGTGTAGGTAGAAATACCCGTCATCATTGCTAACAATTATAAATTGGAATTTCAGCCAGAGAGGTAAGCGTTTATTAAAAGCTCAATCTGTCTCAGCCACGGGGACCACATTCGCTCCGCTAACGGGGTAAGTGTAAATTAGGGCGTGTGGTCACGTGATCCTGACGCCCCCTGTCGGTTGAGTTCATAAGTTCAGCTGGGCGCGTGCACGTTGATGGCGGTAGGCGGACTATCTTGGCCATCTTCTTCTCTCCTCTCCTCTCCTCTCCTCTCCCCTGTTTGCTTTAACAAATTTAAGGGAGCACCCCACTATCATGACCGACTGGCGCAGTTTCGACTACGACTACATCTCGGCTTAACTACCCGACGACGAAATCTGAAAAGTCGATCAAGTCATAAAAACGTCTGTGAGGGATGTCGGAAGATGCTGGTTATTTTAAAAATGGAGGGACAAGGCGGGGTTTCCCTTTAATGAAAGTGCCATTGCTCGTTGACACATCAAGGGGGAAACGCCTCCTCTAGCACCACCTATGTTCCTGAAAGCATCGATGACGTGGTCGCGATTATTTTTGTGCCCAAGCTAGACGATACTGTACATTAGATAAAATCACGAACCTCATCACGGAAAACGTTTGCTTTTAGCGTATTCGGTATACTCAGGGTAAAGGCACCAATTGTTTGTCGGTAATTGCTTTACGTTGAACTTATGAATTTTGATCTACTTTGAGAACGTTTCCGCAAAACAGGGCTTCAACCCCTCACAATTTAGGTCCAATCTGACCCATATTTAAATAAACTGGCTATCTAATAGAACACAGAGGTTATGATAAGTTTGTGTTTGTAGACCTGAGAAGGTATCATCAGAATGAAGTATTAGGCTATGGCTATTTCCTTCACTGTACCCCCCAACTGACGTGCTCGCTGTATGAAGTGAATCAGGTGCTGAGGGTCTGTATTCTGAGCTCTGAAGCTGCAGCTCCCCCCCCCCCACCAACCCTGTTCATGCTCGAGTCCCAACTGCGAGTGTCAGATTTGCTCCAGATTCCTTGATCTGCTGAATCGTCCACAGAGATGAGGCGAAACGTCTCAAATCGCCACAAACGAACTGTGACATCTATTAGCAGAGGCACAACCGGGGATTTGGTCTGTGCAGTTTTACAGCTGTTTTCCTTTCTTATTCAGGAGTTTCAGTTCAGGTTTTAAGGTATTCACTGTCCCATTGGCTGGAGCTGGCATGGCCCTGTTTGTGGGCTTTTTTTTTGTAATGGGATGTTAACCTTCTCTATGTTTGCAGTCGAGGGTCACACTTCTTCTGCCGGCCTGTGCGACTGTTTCCTATATGGGCTTGCCTAATGGCGACTTGCATGCATTCATCATGTGCTTATAACTCAGCTGCATTGTTTATTGTTTTCTTCCTGGTTGATGCTTTGTGAAACCTGACTGACAAGTTAGTATTAGGTTTTACCCATTTATGCAGTAGGATCTGTGCTCGTACGCTGAAGCATTTTGGGTTAAGTAGTATGAATTCACAAAAGCCTGGCCCCTTCTGGGATTTGCAGTGGCAGAAATGTGTGTGCTTAATCATCCATTGGTCATGATACGCTTTTCAGAACTCTTCTCACTAATGTGATGTTAGTTTTTTGAATAAAAGTTGGGCTGGCAGTTTATCCGGGACATTCCATACTTAATTTTCTTGAAAATGTCTTCTACTCTGTCATCCTGAGCCTTGTGTATGGCAGTGATTTCTTTTCGTTGTGTTTTGGGTCTCCCCTGTTGTCTCTTTGGTGGCGGTGGTGGTGGTGGGGGGGTGGGGTGGCAGTTGCACTTTGAAGCCATTTGGAGTTCTGAACGTTGGGCATAGTTGGGATTTTTGAGGTCTGTGTGCTTTTATCTGTTGGGTGGATGGGGTGCCGAGCCGTTCTAGGTGTGGTGGGGGCTAAAACCCAGAGCAGCTGTGTGCTCGTCTGCGGGATCTGCTGTCGGCCAGCTGCGGGGGCGACTCTCCCGCCTCTCGTTCAGCAGCGTGTGTTTACTGCAGTATTTCACTGCCGGCTTTGTCATCACCATGTGCGAGAGACCAACCAACATGAATCTGCAAGGCTGAAATAAACAAACATTTCCAGCCACTTACAGGTTATCGTGGGGCTTTTTTTTGGTAGATTTGAATCCATTCATCATGTGCATTACGTTACGCTGTGGTTATGAAATTCATTTCCACTTTTCATTGTTGGGAGGAGAAGGGGTAAACCTCTTGGCACCACTCTTCATTTTTTTTTTTGTTTTTTTTTTTTTATCTGGACATGTTTCCATGAGCAGGTGGGCCAGATTTGCGGGGGGGCGTGGCCTTCAAGTTACTTTAGCTGTTATTTGCTAATAAATTCACCCTTAAATCTGCTTCTGTCCTATGCATATATAGGTGCCGTGGAATGCACCTTTTCCACCCGCATGGGCTGTCCAAAAACACATCTCGGGGGTAATGAATACCCCTCAGCACAGCTCCCACCCACTGTGCTTGTACAGGGGGTGTAGCATTAACAAACAGAGGTTATTCACTTGTGTAAAGTCTGGGGCCCTTCTATGTGTGTGGTGTCGGGTTCCTGGCTCTGTTTGAAGTGGCTGGGCGAAGGTTCGAGCCAGGCCTGTAAGTCTTGTCACACTTGTGGCCCCTGTAATTGAACTTCAAAAGCAGCAAAGCACAGCTAGGCGGACAGGGAGTGCAGACTGTGTATGGGGAGTCTCCTCTGCCCGAGTTCTTTAAGGAGAGGAGATCTGTGTCTCTCGGGGCGATTCAACTGTTCTCTGTTCTTCTGACTTGAAGGTGCAGCGGGGAGGAGTCGTAAACCACAGAGTTGACTTGTTTTTTATGTTTGTCAGTCAAAGTGGGGTGTGTGTGTTCACTTCCTGACTTGTGTGCCATTACTATGGATTTTATTGCCCCCAGGACCCTGGGGACAGGATAGCTCAGAAAGGCTGTTCCTTCAATAGGATGCAACTTAATTGCAGATTTGTGCTCCAGGGTGCTGCTGAATTTGGGTCTCGACTGAGGCCAGTGGTGTCCCATGTTACGGAGTTAATACTGAGTGAGGATGCGGTTGGTGATGAGGACGGGGTGAGTCTTTGATTTGGACGGAGCTGACGTTTGCAGAGAGATGTGGTTCTTGCGTATGGGGTTTCTGAGAGATATCCCCCTCCTCCCCTATGGGCCTTTGACAGGTTCTGACATGTTTTTTAGTTGGAACGGCATTCAGAGTTTACACCATTATGTAGGGCTTGGGTGTCAAAAGTCAAACTAGTCCTGAAAGAGACTGGGATATTAAAAGATTATCTAGGAATGGTGTCTGCAATGAGTTGATTGGTTTAATCCCTGGGGACTGACAGGGAGGTAATGTGCACCAACAGTATCATATTTCTTGTGTCTACTGAGATGTTTTCATCTGATCTCAAAGACCTTTCAGTTATAGGAATAAATCAGTTGAAAATCGTTAATGCCGATTTTTATACTGAACAAAAAGAAACGCAGCATTCAAACTAAACTCAAAAGATTTTGTTGAAGAGAAATTAATAAATGAAGGTTTCATTCAAGGTGATTCATTAGACCTTGTTAGTGACAGAGACCCTGAAAATGAGGTTGATCGCGGAATAGCGATCCCACATTGGTGTCTGATGCCATCACCATTTGCATGGAATGCTAGCTGATCCGAGATGATCTGGCCTTTGATGGTCACTGGAGGAATGTTGCTCCACTGCTCAACTTCTGTGTGAAGTTGTCTGATATTGGAGCACTGATCCAGTGCATCTCAGAGATGCTCAAAGGGTGACGTGTCTGGGGAGTACGCAGGCCATGTGCTCTGTGGTTCTGAAGCCGGCTGGATGCAGCAGAGGCAGCTAATGGTAAAGAAATGGGCTAAGCAGTTTGCCAGTGGCATGTTCCGGGCCACTGCATTTCTTAACAAACACTGCACAGCTGCATCTGTCACTTTATTGTCCCCAAATTAAGAAGTGGCCGCGTCGTGATCGTGCTGCTCAATCCCCGTGTTGGCATGCCAAACCTGTGAAGGAGATTGATAATCAATACTTTTATATTACAAAATATTACAGTTACAAAAAAAAACCAGTTATTCGGCAAAATTTGAAAGACATTTTATATTACTACAAAAAAATCCTGGATTTTTTCTCAAACTGCTGCAAAATGTGTGCAAAACCATATATGTTGCTTTTACATTTTTAATCCATGTATTTTCTACATCTGTGAATCGTGGAGATTGGTTTTTACATGGAGAGACTGGATGGCATGGTTTGAGTTGGGGGATCGTTCATGGCCCACTGCTTTTCCACTGCCCTGATCTGTACGGGGACTGTGCTGTTTGACAGTAATGAGCTGGAATGTATATGTTGTGAGGCTCAGGACCTTGTCAGCCTCTGTTTGACCTGATATCTCCAAAATAGCACCAGCTAACGGCTATCAGCGTAGTCTTTGGACGTTACCATGGCAGTTTAGGCTTGTGACTGCCCTAAACCTTCTGTGTTGAAGGAGGCCACAGTTTTAGGTAGCAAATGGACCCCTCCCCCACGCCCAAAAAACCCTTCAAAATTTGCCAGTGTTTCAAGAAGATGGGAGGAATGTATCTTTGTAGTAAAACACTGATTTATTATATGTGATGCAGGACAAAGTGCACATTTGCTATTACTTTGCATATCAATCTGCTTGCCCCAAAGTAGCCATTTACGAAATCTGTGAATAGTTGGCGTTCTGTCTCTAGGAGGGGGTGGAGCATTCTGGAGCCTGGGGCAGGGCCCCCCTCTTGTGCCATGGAAGCAGTAGGCATTTGAAGTGATCGTCTGATGACGGGTCCCCCGCAGTCGTAAAGCGCACATTCCCAGGGGGCTTCCTGTGTTTGAGGGTGGAGTCAGACAGAGAAAGGAGTAGGAAGGGGAGGCTGATGGAGGCCTTTATGTGCAGCACCTCCTCCGGCATGTTGTCTGGGCTGCAGGATTATGGCCGTCGCACCCCACAGGACATGTGGTACTTAGAGGTGGCTTTTGGGGGAGGGGACTAAGCAGAGACGTGAGCTTGGCGCCTGTGTGTCACCTGATGGACTCTCATTGGCTGCCCTGGCAGGGGGCTCTCATTGGCTGCCCTGGCAGGGGGCTCTCATTGGCTGCCCTGGGACTCCAGCTACCTGTCCTCTCTCCTCCAGAGCAGAGTGGAGGCACTCTAACTGAATGTGAGGATTCTTGTGGAAATGCATGTTCTGCCCTTACCTGTCTGACTGGAAAAGCGAACCGAAGTGATCTCTTATGCTTTTGCAGGTGGAAAATCATTTCCTTCTGAGACGTAATGAAAATAAGAATTTTCAGTAATACCAGGGCTGGATTAAACAAGGTGGTGTTTCGCCTTTTTAATTTATTTGAAGTAAAAATGTGCAAATTAATGATTGGTGTAAATACTTTAAATGTGTGCACTCGCTTGCTGTCTGGCAGTTTTAGATTTGAGGAACATCCTGAGATGAAAGATAAGAGTAATGCAGAGGGAATTACAAACCGGGGTGTTTGAAATGTGACTCCTTGGAGCGGAGCTGATGGTGTGCTGTTACCGTCCGGGTTTGAATAGTCTCTTGCTTGATGTGAAACAGTCTGGGTTTTGCCCGTTGGGGGCGTGGTGCGTGCCGTGTTCCCAGCCATGTGCGCCCGCTCGATTTATGAAGGCGCCACTTGCTGCACTTTCATCACCCTCCCTTTTATCAAGTTCAGAGTTCACGCTTGTTCATGGGCTTTGAAGGGCCCAGATTCCACGGATTTACTGCCTCCCCGCTCCACCCCGCCAGTAGGGCTGTTTGGCACCGGAGCGGCCAGGTGCTTCTTGTTTAGGTCGTCGGTGGCCTCCCTGTTTGTCTTTGAGGTGGGGGCGTGGGCGGTTCACAGGGTGCTTTTAAGAACTCTCCACAGGTCTGGCTAGAGCACTGAAGCTTCTGCCTCCACTCATCTTGCAAATAAGAACTATACAAACGAGAGGAGGCCATTCGGCCCATCGAAATGTAGTCTCCATCAATCTTCTGGCATTTTTAAAAAGATTTTTTGCTAAATTTCACCAGAAGCCTTTTCCTGGGCCGGTAAAGCAGTACATACTGTATGTACGCATGAGAACAATATGCATGCATTTGGAGTGGAATGTTTTCCAGTGATGTAGCTTGCCCCCCGTGAAAGTCAAAAACTGTTAAAAACTATCAACAAAAAAAAAAACATTTGAGTCAACTAACCGGGCAGGGTTTTCTATTTTAAGCAAAGAGACGGCACTTTCTCCTCCATCTTGACAAAAGTTTCTGAGCGTGTGATGTTCCTCATTGCTTCAGTTACCTTTTCAGAATTTTGTAGAATGTAGTATGTCATCTGGGTACCGTTTGCCTACTGTCTCATCCATACTGAGGATTCAGCAGAATGTAGTATGTCATCTGGGTACCGTTTGCCTACTGTCTCATCCATACTGAGGATTCAGCAGAATGTAGTATGTCATCTGGGTACCGTTTGCCTACTGTCTCATCCATACTGAAGATTCAGCAGAATGTAGTATGTCATCTGGGTACCGTTTGCCTACTGTCTCATCCATACTGAGGATTCAGCAGAATGAAGCATGTTGTGAAGCAAGGCTCACTTCTAAACTATTCACCAAACTGCCCTGGTGATTATTGCACATGCAGCACATAATCGCGATTACATCACGACGTGATCACGACAGCCCTATTTGTCTGTTCAGGGTGGTGCAGCCATGAATGAATTGGTCACGTTCTTCTCCGCTGCCTGGGCATTTGTGGGTAGTTTTATAGCTGCTTTTCAGGTGAGCTGTCTTTAAGCCATCTGTGGTTACGGATGGGATCCTTCAGCTGCTCAGGCTTAATCTGCTTGGTTGTCTTGTGGCTGAGCTTGAATTCTTACACATGCATGCCTGGTTTGCATCAGGATTGGTAATAGTTACCAGTTTAGCATGTACTGGATTTTTGTTCCCATCATGATGTTGAGATGGTCTCCTGTTCATTGTTCTGAGGATGAATTGTTACAGTGACACAGCAATGCGCTTCAACTGAAGAACAAAAACTCCAAGATAGTTACCCCTCTAGCTCCTTGGTCCTTTTCCTCTTATAGGGACGGTGCTGTCCCCCCCCAGCTGTATTCCCTGCTCTCACACCCTCTTCTCCTCTCCCCCCCAGGATGCCAGCCTAGGGCCCAGTAGTGGCACGATCACTGGGACATCGACCCCTCCCCAGCCCCCTCCCTGGCTGAGGTGCCCTTCCTTAGCTGGGCGACATGGGTCGCACCCCCGTGAAAGGTGAGAGTGTTTCCTGTAACTATTCACGTACATATGATGGGCAGTTTGACTCTGGACATGGAAAACAGAGAAATTTGCAAATGTTAAAATAATTTAATTGAAAAATGACTGACTACAGTTGCCTTGTGGGATGTTATTTCTTAGCAAAACTGATGTAAATAAAGGCCGCTGCTCGTGACACTGGATTTTACAGGCTGTTTATATTGATGTGATTGATGTGTTTTCATTCAACAAAGGGATTTTTATGTTTATTTTTTAAGACCAAAAAGGAGGGAAAAGGGAAAAGCCTGGAAAGGGCAGCACCTCCTTGGATTCCTCCCTTACTGCCAAAGGTCATCTGAATAAGTTAACATTTCTTTGTTGCTGTTGTTACACTATTTAAATTGGTACATGCTGTTTTGCTGCCCTCTGCTGTTTAAAAGTAGTTTTGCACTTGCGACAAACTGTTAGATATTTTGACTCATTTAATTGGCTGCACCTTTATAAATTCTCCCTTTGTCTATAGAGACTTTCAGTTGGGAGGAATACCTGAAGGGATCGTCATCAACGCCTGCCCCTCCCTGCTGTTTCAGACAGGTGTGCCGCTCCGTTGGTGTCCTGCTGGCTCCCGAGGGGGGAGGAGCTTTGAATTAAATTTTTAATAATAATATATTTACTTATAGACTGAAGTAAATAGATTTTTTAAATAAAGTACAATTTAAATGTTTATTAAAATGGCTGTAATTGAAATTCAAACTTATTTGAAATGTGTTTTCTTTGAAGTAAAAATGCCTGGGCTCTGTGGGCTCTGCTGTCTCCAGTCAAGGGTCTCCCCCAGCAATGATTTCAAGGTGGGCATGAAGCTGGAAGCGCATGACCCCCGTAACTCTACCTCTGTCTGCATCGCCTCGGTGATGGGCTTGGCTGGTATGCGAGTACGTCTGCGTCTGGACGGCAGCGACAACACCAATGACTTCTGGCGGCTGGTGGACTCGTCCGACATCCAGGCTGTCGGGACCTGTGAGAAGGCGGGGGGCATGCTGCAGCCTCCGCTGGGTGAGGGTCTCACTGCTCCCATGATGCCCTGCAGCGATGTTGTCCCGAGGCATTGTGGGAGAGAGTGTCCCTAAAAGCAGGATTGCTTTTCTTTTCCTTTTTTTTGCCTTTTGGTGGTGATCGGTTTTGAAAAAAACCTTTCGCTTACTGGTTTGTTTACTTATGAACGGGAAGAATTTTCCGTGGGTGTTTCTCAATATGCGAACTTGACCGTTCTCGCTCACTCATTTGACTCCATCTCCAAGTGCCAAAGACCAGCTCCAATACTCAATAACGGACGTATGGAGGACGACAGAAATCCACGGACGTCGTTCTTGCTCCGCCCCAAATAGCAAGGACGCGTTGGCTGCATCCTTGCTAACGAGAACAATCCCATGATTCATTGCGTCCCAAGTTTGTTCTTGGGGGGGCAAGTTAGCGAGGCCGCTCTTTGTGCTCTTGGTATTGATAAACACCCCATGTTTCTGTTAGTTGGCTGGATGTTTCAGACCTGATGATAATGAGGGCTGGACAGTGTATGTGATTTATCGTGCAGCTCTTCATCCTGTCCCTCTCCTTCCCTTCCCACTGTGCCCCCACCATGACAGGATTCAGAATGAATGCATCCTCATGGCCCATGTTTCTGCTAAGGACCTTAAGTAGAGCAGAGATCGCACCCCCAACCGCTTTCAAAAAGGTAACAAGTCCTTCACCGTACCCAGTTTGGCCATGGAAAGGACAGCTCTTCCAGGTCCTCTTTCTTCACGTCCAGGAGCCGGTGAGGCCGTCTCAGAACAACTTCCGGGCTGGAATGAAGCTGGAGGCTGTAGATAGGAAGAACCCCTATCTTATCTGCCCCGCCACCATCGGCGAGGTCAAAGGTGACGATGTCTTCATCACGTTTGATGGCTGGAGAGGCGCCTTCGACTACTGGTGCAAGTACGATTCACGGGACATCTTCCCTGTGGGCTGGTGCCTAATAACCAAGCACAGTCTGCAACCTCCTGGAAACAGCGGTAAGTTTTTCCAGCAGGGGGCGATGCAGTTTGCAGTTTTGCTTGAAGTCTGAAGAGCTGCTAAATCATACTGTGGACATACACGTCTTTAATGATTCTGAATTATTACAGCAAGTACGCTTTTTATTTAATGCCTGTCCATCGAGGTGGCCTCCGTTGCCGTGTGAAGAGCGGGGGTGGCAGCTGCAGTGTAACAGCACGCTGGAATTTTCCAGAATGGGACTCTAACCTTCTGCCAGAAATCCCTGACATTCTACTGGCTGTGTAGCGTCACCCTTCGTTTAAATCTGGTGCCACTGCTGCCATTTTCTAAAAAGTTGGTTAAGTTGTCACATTGAAATAAGTGTGGATAAAATACAGAGTACAGAGTCTGTTCAGTATATGAATATTTTTGTGGTATGTTACTCAGTGTTCAGAAGTACCTAATTCAGATTCTAGACCCTCAGTGGATCCTCGTAATGATAGCATTCCTACTTCGCTCCTAATCTGAATGCCAGCGCAGTCATGTCCAGTCATTCCAGCGATGGACCATGAAATACTTGGAAATCCGAAGCCCCTTTCACATCTGTGATTTAGACTAGGAGAATCACCAAACGTTGGCTGATTAGCATACGCTGAATGCAGCGCAGCCAGAGATTGTCGGGCTGTATGTATATCGGGCCGATTCGGCGGTTGTTTATATAAACAAGATTGTATTGATGTTTTCAGTTATTAGGCTCAGTTATGTGTTTGAGCACTAGATGGCGCTGTGCCTTCGCTCGCATGGAAACCTTGCGGATTGGTCTGTCAGTCCACACACGGGCTTCATGCCGCTTTGAAGTGTTGCCTGTTTCCCACCGTTTTCTGGCACCGAATCTACGGTTAGTGAATTTTTTTTGGGTGGTTTTTGGAATAACCACTAATGCTTAACGCTTAACTAGGACCTGACTGAGACGTTGATTTGTGGGGAAAGTTTAAGCGTTTAGGTGTCTTCTGGTTATCTTGCTGAAATACAGCCACAGGATCTTTCCCAAGGACCTGAATGGGGAACCTTCTGGTCATAATCTCATGTTAAAATATGCGTGTGTGTGTGTGTGTGTGTGTGTGTGTGACTTATCTCTGCCATTGCTTGTGACATTTTCCATGTGCTTGAAGTCACAAAGGACCTCTGTGTAAAACATTGCTACTTAGACCTTCCAAAGCTGCCCCCCCCCCCATCCCGGTAGCTCTAGCATTCCATTGCCTCTCAGTTGCCCCAAGGCCCACTAATTGAATGGGATCAAAGTGTCTTTTCCATCACCAACTCGGACCTGGATCATGACCTGCTTTATGCCACTAGGGGTCTAAATGTTCACCCTCATGCCGGGACCCACCTGGGACCAGTGAGGGCTGGGGATGACTGAACACTAAAATCTAGAGGCTCGTTAAATAAGCAAGCAGATGTAGATGCTAAACATTCTCAAGGATAGTTTAACTGTCTGAAGTAATACTACAGCAAAGGCCTCCCTATTTAAAGCTGGGGTTTGCGTTCTCAGATGCTACATCATACCCTTTGTGGAGTTTTTCACTTCTCTGCTCCCCTTCTATAAAAAGGGACACGATACTGATGTTATATGTAATAGGTCCATAGCTCATTGATCATTTAACTGACGTACACATACTGGCATATTTAGTCAGGATAAGATGTGCAGCCTCACAATTTTTCTGACTGTCACATTGTGTAGCGTGGAAAAAGTTCTGTGAGGTTTTTTTCTTTTATAATTATTTGTATTTACCATGGATTTATTGTCTTCCTTTGTATGTAAGTAGTCTAAGATTTCAAGATTGATGGCTGTGGATCACTGAAGCAAAACTAGAGTTAGTGTGACATAGGACAGCCGTACGACGGAGTTCAGCCGCATTCAGGGATGACACAGTACAGACTTCATCGTGGCTTTGGTGCTTACGGTCATACTCTCCCAGAAGTTTGGGAGAAACCAAAAGGCCAGTGGATTTGGTTGTGAAATGAGAGCTAGCCCCCCCCCCCCCACTGGCTTCTTCCATGTTTCATTGCTCCCAAGTGATTTCTGTTGGGGTTGATATGAAATCGGACAGATGATGCCCTGCAGTGCTGCGCTGCCCTTCTCCTGTCCGCAGTGCGGCCTGCTGTGATCTTTTCTGAAGATTTTGGTACAGTTTGCATGCTGCTCAGGCCTGTCTTTCGCATGACATCATCTGTTTTTCTTTGCGGTATTTCCCCCAATTGCCTTTTTTTTTTCAATTAAAAAAGCTTCAATCATGCGGACCATCATGTTTTTCCCCGAAAGGCTTTTTTTCGTCTTTGTTTGAGTGGCAGTAATACATGCACATATGTTAGCTGCTGTTACATCCAGACAAAGGGAGCAGCTCAGCACAGTGTTCCTGTTCCTGCCAATCACCTCTTACTAAGGCTGTATTGTCAGGCACTGATTGTTCCGTCCTGCTCTGGGTCAGAGCTGGTCATTTGTGGTCTGAGCATCCTCTGGTCTGTTTTGGGTTTTATAATGTGTGTGGCCCAAAGGATGCGGTCTCAGTGAGGTTAGGGTTGTATTCAGCAATGTTCAACCCTTACAAGCAGCACGGGGTGACCATGTGACTGCTTCATGCATTACAGGAAATTGCAGAAGTCTAACATGGAATTGCTTTCCTCTCGCTGGTAGCCATGACATCTGTTCTTAGACACCCGTAAGTTAATGTTCTTTTGAGGTGTGGAAAGTTTCCGATGTTATCAGGTGTTAATTGGCAGTGTGACGCTTCCTTTGCTCACGAGGGGGGGCCGTGCATGGTGCACGTGAACAAGAGAGTGCATTTCGGCGTGGTGCCGCTCACTTCTCCACCAGCAGAGCTCTGGCAGTGTTGAGATCCCATTCCTGTATTTGATGATTCTGAAGCCTGTGTGTGTAATACTGTCCTTCAAGGGTCTGTGATGTTCCTCCTGCCCTTTGCTCAGACAGGCCGTTTTCGTGCCGTCCTGCTGTTTGTCAGGCTGCCTTAAGCTCTCCTGCCATTTTAAAATCACGTTTTAAGCATTCGGGTTCCGTGCTGGTCAGGGCCCCCCCACGAGGCCCGGGGGGCTTTATCGGGAAATGGGGCCTTTTGTTATGCAGGGACATGATTGTGCCTCAGTTTATGCACCAGAGGCAAGTAACATTGATGGAGTGTTCATGTGTGTGGGTATGTGACTGTTTGCTGTGTGTGTTTGTTTGGGGGGGGGGGTAGGGATTATGGAGGGGGGGGTGGTACATTTACGTATCCCCCAACCCCCAAGTCCCTGCCCCCCTTTCAGCTGGAGCTGACCCTATTGTTTAACGAGCCCAACATCAGCTGCTCCTCTATTAGATCCTAATTAGCAGATATTGCTCCCCTAATGAGCCTGGGGGGGTCCTGGTTTTTCCACATTGATGCTCTCCATTGTTTATCCCAGAGCTCTGCCGGCTGAAATGAGTGCCAGGGGTTGGGGGATGGTCTGTGAGCGTGTGCAGGGAGCCCCGGCTGGCGTGCGGCCCCCCCACACAGGCTCTGGCCGGGTGTTAGTGCCGATGGGAAGTGCGGCAGTCGGCGTGTGGCCCCCCCACACAGGCTCTGGCCGGGTGTTAGTGATGGGAAGTGCGGCAGTCGGCGTGTGGCCCCCCCACACAGGCTCTGCCCGGGTGTTAGTGATGGGAAGTGCGGCAGTCGGCGTGTGGCCCCCCCCCCCACACAGGCTCTGCCTGAGGTCGCCGTCATCAGGGTTTACTAACATGAGAGGAATCGCTGATGTCTTCAGACGCTTCGAACGGCAAATAGACAGGGGGAGCTTCTAAAACGCAAAATGGATGTGGCCCTTTCTCCGTGGGGTCCCTCTGCTCCCCTCTGCTCCTCTCTGCTCCCCTCTGCTCCCCTCTGCTCCCCTCTGCTCCTCTCTGCTCCCCTCTGCTCCTCTCTGCTCAGGCTCTCCTAAGCAAATCTGGGAAATGTCATGACTTTATGGGACGACCACAAGCCGGAGGCACAACCTCTCGCTTTGGCTGCAGCGTCCTGACGTGTCACTCTGAGGCGTTTTGTCCTTGTGGTGAAAAGGGGATGTTTCCTCTATTTGCAACATTTCTGATTAAGTTCCTCTCAAAATACATCTTTTAAAAATACATATATATGTATATTTTTATTAACAGTTCTATGGCAAACGGGAAAAACCCTTTGCAGCTTCTACCGTAGTGTCTTGTGTTTAAATGTAGAATTTACTACTGAATGAAGAAGTTAATTCTGAGACTTTTAACTTGAATGTAAGCCTGTTTCGTAGAAGATGAAAGGGCTGGTTACTTGTTTTTATCTCTTTACTGTTTGGTTTCCTGTTACCAGACTGGCCTTTTATGCAAGCAGGCATTTGCAAAATAACACAGAAGCGCACTCCTTTCCAGTCTGTCTGTGTGGATTATGTATATATGACATTATGGGGACCAAACGTCTCCACAATGTGATAAAAACCTGCTATTTTGATGCTGTGGGGGCCATTTTTTTCGGTCCCCACAAGGGGAAACTCAATTTTATAAAATCTGTGACTGTAATCGAAAAACTAAAAATGGTTATTTATGGTTTAGGTTAGGGCTGGGTAAGGGTTAGGGTTAGCATAGTTGGGATTATGGTTTTTCCCATAGAGTCCCCACAAAGATATGGATACAAACGTGCGTGCGTGTGTGTTTGTCTTTCCTACCCAGAGTAACATTTTTATCTTCTGGCTTTCGCACCCCCAGAATGATGACTGGGCCTAATAATGAAATGAGGTCTCAGGCAGGCCAGCCCCGTTACCGCCGCTTATGTGCTCGCTGTGGAGAGCAGCTTCTCCCGCGGAAATCTGTAAGGAGTGTGCGGTGCGACCCGGCTGCTCGTGCGGCAGATTAAACCCCCTTTGTCTGCCTTCCATTTCGTCATAAAGATTAAAAAAACGCACTTTCAAGCCGGCTAATGCTGTTATGCGCTACTGTTTCCTGCTTTTTTGAAGTTGCCTTTCACTCAGCTCTCTGGGGATTTCTGAATAGGCTTGGGTTACCCAGAGTCCCCCCCACCCCCCCCGCCACCTTAATCCTACCGCCCACTGCCCCTTCCTGGGTGGGGGAAGGGGGCCGTCTGGGGCGCTAATGCAGCCAACGGGAGTCCCTCCCCAATCAGGGTCCTCTGATCCATTTTAACCTTTTGCCCCCCTGCTACCCCCCCTCCCCCGCCCAACTGCTTGACAAGGGACACAGAGACCAGGTGACTGATGGGTCCTGTCAATATGGGCAACTGATGATATGCATATAAGCCCTAGTGGGGGCCCCCTCCCCCTACAAGCTCACCCCCCCAACCCCCCCTTTTCCCCTCCTCCGGCTCTAATGCAAATGAGGCAGAGCTCGCTGAGTGCCGGCTGCCGTGTGGCTCAGTCAGACCGGCCTTTGTGCTGCTGTGAGCTGGTGCTGCTGGCTGGAAGGGAGGGCCCCCGTACGCTGAGCCCGGCGCCGAACAGACGCTGCTACTGCGCCGCTGCCGCTGCTGCCGCCGCACCCCCCAGCTCAGGGAACCCGGGACGCCACGGCGCCGAGTGCGCCGAAGCCCCCCCTCTTTGTTCAGCGGTGAGTGCCCCTACTGACTCCCCCCACACACCCCCAAACCGCTTCTGGCTTTTGTTTTTCCGGTGCCGGTGTGGGGGTCCTGTGTGCGCAGCCCTCGCGGCTCTTTGTCTGGGCTGCCTGAGCGTCAGCGTGCGGGCCCTCCGACTCGCAGGTCCGTTTGTGCCGCTTGCGGACAGCTTGGTGGATGGATGGATGGATGGATGGTGTTGTCAGCATAGTCTGCGCTGACTGAGGGACGCACCGAGCTGCACAGCTTACAGAGGCTGCCGCTGTTGTGCCCGACTTGTTAGAAGTTCTGGCTGCGTTTGCGGCGCAGACTCCACTCTGCCCTGCTTTGTTTACCACTGAGCCACTGCGCGCCTGTTCGCAGAACGGCATTGGTTCTGATCCAGGGGGGGGCCAGGCAGCGGCGACAAGCACAGATGTAAATATCGTGGTGGAGAATGTAATGAACTGTGGGTGCTCGCCCCCTTTCGAGGCCCCCCCCCAGCCTGCGTTCTGGGTCACTGGGACACATGGAGATTGCTGCATCACATGCAGGCTGATCTCTGCTACAGAATCTCAGGACTTGTATGCCTTCCGTTGCCCCTACCACCTAGTAATCTGGTCCTGTTTGGTGGGGCAGCTGGCATTAAGGATTGGGGAACTTGCTGTGTGTGCAGAGTGCTGTGTTTCTCGACATGTACATATTGGTGTGAGCAAATACACCTGGGTGTGGATGAGATTAGATGAGCTTTATTGATCCCAGAGGGGAATTCTAGTGCGTATGCCAGAGGAACATACAAGGCAGTACACATGGGTCAAACAAGTAGGCTTAGTGTAGACATAACTTAAAAGTACAGATAAAGAATCCTGAAAAAGCAGAAGTTTATGGAGTATTAATGAAATAAGTGCTGGGAAAAGAATATATGTGATGCAAGTGCACTTGTGTTTGTGGACTGGAAGTGGAGCGCTGTCTTTGAGTGAGGAAGGAAGTATCCTCGTGTGTGCGCGCTTGAGGGTGTGTGTGCAGGCGTGAGGGTGTGTGTGCAGGTGTGAGGGTGTGTGTGCACGCGTGTGTGTGCACACTTGTAGGGTCAGCCCCTCCGGAAGCAAACAGAACCTCTCTGTTCTGGACCCGTTTGTCAGCCGCTTCTAATTAGACAGCGACGCTCTGCGGGCCGCTGGGTTCTCTGCCTTCTCGGGAGGTGCTGAAAGGTCGTCTTCCCGCCCCCCCCCCCCCCGAAGCCTCCCAAAGGTGCCTTTCTTCTCTGTGACGGATGTGGAGTTTCACTGAAATGTGAGCCGTCTTATCTGATGATATTTGAAATGCATGTATTGGTTAATAAACGCAGGCTGGCAGGCAGCCGGACCACGGCGCTGTGCGGTGCTTTCAGCAGTCGGACCACGGCCCTCTGCGGTGCTTTCGGCAGCCGGACCACGGCGCTGTGCGGTGCTTTCGTCAGCCGGACCACGGCCCTGTGCGGTGCTTTCGGCAGCCGGACCACGGCCCTGTGCGGTGCTTTCGGCAGCCGGACCACGGTGCTGTGCGGTGCTTTCGGCAGCCGGACCACGGCCCTGTGCGGTGCTTTCGGCAGCCGGACCACGGCGCTGTGCGGTGCTTTCGGCAGCCGGACCACGGCGCTGTGCGGTGCTTTCGGCATGACATCTCTGGTGGTCTCAGTCGCACGTACCAATACGTCACCCTGTCACAGCTGCCCATTGTCAGCATTTTAAAGGCCGTGAGGTTTAAACTGAGCCGTGACTGTTGGGTATGAAATGAGCCTTTACACTAAGGATTTTCAGCATGCCGATTCCATAAGTGTATACAGTCCTTGTCACCCTTGCGCAGGGTGGAGACGTCCAGCTTACATGCACATATGGATCCTGCTGCAGTCAGGAATCTTTCTGGCAGATTGTGGCTTCACTGCGTGTCTCTCAGAAGGGTCTAGGGGCCCAAACAGTCGGCCATTGTTGTCTTTCCTCGCAGTCGGCCGACGTCTTAATTTGCTGGGCTGCCTGTAAGCGGCAGCTGTGCGGGACTCGGCAGACGAGCAGCCGGCTCCTCTGCAGATCAGCATGTCTCTCTGCTTGTCCGAAGGAGCCTGTTTGCCCTCTCGTGGAAAGTGGAAATGTTTGCTTTTGTAGGTTTATGAATTTTTAAACCCTCCCAAGTATGTTTGTGGCATTTTCAAGTAGCATTTTTTGCTTAACTTAATTTAACACCAGATAATAGAGAGTGAACATGAGTCTAAGCCAATACAAAAGGCATAAATATTTTATATTGATGTCTGCTTGTGGGGGGTGGGGGGGTAAATGCCCCGTTAACAGGATATTCCCTGTGAGACCCAATTTGAAGTGCTCTGTCTGAATGCAGGCACTGTGCTGTTGGTGCTGTGTAACCAAGTGGGACAGGGGGGGGGGGCAGGGAGTCTTAGAGGACCAGTCATCAGGAAAACCCTGGGGGAGGGGCAAACAGACAAAAAAAAGCATCTCACAAAATAGCCCCCCCACACCACATTCCCCTGGTGTAACCCCCTGCCTGGTAACCTGGGGAGGGAAGGTGGGGGTGTGTTTGGCCCTGATCGGGAAAGGCGGAGCCGTGTGGCCCAAGGCGTCCCCCCCTGCGAGCAGTGACCTCTTCACCTCTGTGTGTGCGTGAGCTCCCCCCCGGGCCGGGCAGGAGCACGAGGGCGAGCCTCTCCCCCTCCGTACCACAGACGGGATTCATGTGAACCTGTGAAACATTTTTACAATATAGACGGATATTACAGTAACCTGTTTGTAATTGAATCTGCGGCCTCAAGTTTCCATGCCCTTAAAGGTTTGCTCTGTCACTCTAATGGCAGTATGGGTGTAGCTTTCATGACGTGTCTCTGTGCATCTATTGGGACTTTTGTATTTTTATTTGGCTCACTTTAAACCTGAGCTCTGAAGGAATTCCTCGCTCAGGCCGCCTCTCTGGCTGGGAGGGAGCCGCCGCATGGCCTGTGATGGTGGCCCCCCTCCTGCAGGATACATGCAGCCTAATTTTGCTGATCCTCACTCCCCCCTCCCCCCCAATGTCGTTGCAGTCACCCTCCCGAAGAGCTTGCCGATTCCCGCCTGGTCCCCGGCCAAGCCCTCCCAGCGTGCCATGCAGTCCCCGTACCGCCTCAGCGCTCCGCTGCCCCCCCTGCCTGTCAGGAAGGGGGTGCGCGGCCGGCGCCCCAAGAGTCAGACTCTGGCACTGCTGAAGGCAGTGGCGGCCGCTCAGGCCAGCGGCCCTCAGGGCGGGAAGACGGCCCCCGACTCGCAGCTCGCACCCAGGCCGTACAAGAAGAGGGGGCCCAAGCCAGGGAGCAAGGTACAAGGGGCCACCACCAAGGGCACCTGCAATGCATGATGGGATGCAGACTGTGGCCCTTTTCAGTAAATACTCTTGCGAATGTTTTAGGGAGGCTGCTGTTTTGGTGACTTTTCCCTTAAATTCTGATTGGTCGGGGACGGTCTGGAAATGAGGCAAACCCAGAGATTGTTTTCTATATCAGGGTACCAGTGAATTTCAGAAAAGCCTCACAGTGTTTTTGGTGGGTTGGTTGACTCCTGCTTGGGCATAGTGGGTGGAGTTGTCCAGGTGTATGGTTTCATCGCGGTAGTGAATGGGGTGGGGGGGTGATCTTGCAGAGGAAGTCCCGGGTGCTTCCTGTTCCCATGGGTACTCCCGCTGCCATTCCCAAGACCCGCCAGTCCAGCGTTCAGCTCTCCAACGACGGAGCTGCCCACCTTAGTGCCAGTCCTGCCGTCACCTGCACAGGTAGGATCTCGCCCCGCCGCCCCCCCCTCACCTGTCTGCCTGCTGTATAGGGTGTCCTGACTCCCACCCTGTTGAAACATCAGTGGTCTGAACACGGTAGTGCAGTGTTCATATTTGGCAGAGCCAGTTCTGAACGCCATGCGCTCTCTCCAGTGTGCGTCTATGTCAACAAGCACGGCGACTGCGGCCCCCTGCTGGACCGCAAGCTGATGCAGCAGCTGCCCGACCACTTCGGACCCGGACCGGTGAACATGGTGCTGCAGCAGGCGGTCCAGGCCTGCGTGGACTGCGCCTACCAGCCGAAAGCCCTGTTCAGCTTCCTACAGGCCCAGTCTGACGGGGGCGAGGTCATTAAAGGTAGGGGGGCGGTGAAAATCGGATTAAGCGGTGGAGCTGGGGGACGCTTCACACAGCATATAATGTTAGAGATATGAATGTATATTGATGAGCCTTGAGTATGTGAAGGGACCAGTACTGCAGTGACCTGCATGACATTTTAATGTGGAAGGGGGTTCAGATCGGTCGATGAAATGAATCATAAGAGCAAATTTGTTCCATACATCCATTAGCCTGAACCTGATTTCAGGAGTGTGTGTGTGTGTGTGTGTGTGTGTGTGTGTGTCTGTGGCCATCTGCTCAATCTTCCCGTCCCTGATAAAAGCCCCGCTTCCAGACACGATCCCTGGCCATACCTGGCCCTGGCCAATCACTGTCCTTGCATCAGTAGTGGCACCCGCCCTGTGCTCAGCTACTGTACACAGACACAGGTTCTGCCCCCCCCAGTCTGGCAGGAAGGTCTCTCGACTTGCTTGCCCTCTTATGGAGTGACAGCTGCTCACGTGTTCAGCTGGATGTCACACTGCACCTTCCCAGGTTAGGATCCTTGGTGTGACTTAGCTACTGGACTCATTCCTGTGTTTCCTCATGAGTAGATTTGCATATGTTGTCATTTTTGTACAACTGTGGTTTTCCTGACATTTGTACCGGAGATATATTGACCCCTACCTGGTCTCAGACGTGTATTACAATGAACATGCACTCTAACCTTCTACTTTGTGTGTTTTTGTAGATGCATGCGTAGCAGTTTGTTTTTTATATTTATTTATAAGCTTAATACGGTATTTGAGCCAAATTATATCAGAGTATCTAATTCTGGCATGTTGATCTGAATTACGTCCATTTTCTGTGATCATCACAAAGTGTTGTTGGAGGGCGGGGATGTGGCCTGCATGAGGCCGCGGGCTCCCAGGGTGACTGGGACTGCCACCCTTATCTGGTGTGAATTAGCTGTTCATAATATTGAACTGGGGCATTTCAGGCGAAGGACCAAGTGTTCAACAGCAGCTGGGATGTGGAGCAGTGACCTTTTGGATGAGGCCCATATAGTCGTGCGTGTGAGCTTGTCGTTTTATGCAGTGCTGGGCTCCTGTAACCGTGCTCCGCCGCTCTGTCTGCCGTGCCAGTGCGCTCCGATGGAGGCATTCACTACGTCCACCTGCCATTGGCCAGCAGTGCATCCTTTGTGCTGCGTTTCCTGGAGACGCTGTGCCAGCACCTGCAATGCGAGAACTTGTTCAGCAGCCAGCCGTTCAGCTCCTACGCCTACGACCGCAGCAAGTCAGGTGGGGTGCCGGTGCCAGTTGCCTGTTTCTGTGCTTGTCTCCATTGACTCATAATCATTTGGGGCCCTCTGCCGTAGCCCACAAATATGCCTGTTCTCTCTTTAAGGGGGTTGTTGATTCTACATCAAATACTAGCAGTTTTCGTTCACATCCAGCATTGCAGAGAAAGCCACACACACCCCTCAGCACTGTTTCAGATGCCGTGTTGGATCCCTTCTGTTCCTCTCTCGTACCAGTTAAAGAAGAGACATCAGATGCTCTCACCATAAACCGAGGGACCAAGCGCTTCCCAAAGGACTCGCCCCCATACGCTGCCCCCCTGTCCCCCAAGCTCTTGCGTAAGGAAGTACATCCCTCAGAAGGTACGCCGCTCCTGTCAATGATCAGATTGTTAATTCTGAAAAAGGCCTGTGGGAGCCTACATTCCCCTTCAGCCAGTCCAGCTAAAAGAACCCACATATAGCCGCCAGTTTTGGGAGGTATTACACTGAGGCAATGTAAATCTGGGAGGGGATGACAGTAAGGCAGTGGAAGTGTGTGGGTTGTTGCTCACAATCACTAGGAACTTT